GTGCACCGAGTGAAGTTGAGTGAAGTTGAGTGAAGTGAGGGGCTGGGGAAAAAAAGACGTGAATTTCCATCTGTTGATCCGTAAGTGGAAGTGGAACACTTGATCAAGGTACAAATGATGCTTACTAATATTGTTCACATCATCAGGCACCGAGCATTCAGTCAATTCATACCTCACTGTTGAAATAGGGTTTTTTTTACTACCCGAGTACATACCCAAAATTGCTTCTTCTGGATCCAACGCAGGGCAGGGTTCATTTTTGTTTACATTGAATTCTTGCTTTTGCACCGTTCGGCTCCGTTGCTCCAGCAAAATAGGTTGGCGAGGTTGACAACACAGAGAGCGTCTGAACCAATGAACATCCGAAGCGCGGAGCATAAATCCTTGTACCCAGTAGAATTCGTCCATTCCATCTCATTTTCGACTTTTCTGGAGATCTTTTATTATACTTTGGTGTCGGATCGGTCTTACCTTTTTCCACGCTCTTGTCTTACAATTATAGTATCGAGTAGCACGTGCCTGGGTAGATGGGATGATCAATACTACCTTTTTCAGGTGATGAATACTACCTAAGGTTTCCAAGGTTGTACTCTGTATGTATGAAGAATTGGAAAAGGGATTTGATCACCACATACAAATTGATATAAATCAAAATACTTACTACGTATCTACTAGGTACTTACCGTATGTAAGATTACAATAATATACTAGGTATGTACAATAGATATATAAGATATATAAAACATATACCTAGTATGTACAATATTTACCTTTTTTAATACAGGAGCGGAGCGAAAAGCCTCCACGGCAGTGGCCAAGCGGAGCGTCATTTATCGATTCAAGGTTCGTGGACTTCCTCAGCAGCTCGATCTGGTCGGATCATTTATGTCATTCATGTCATTTATTATTTGAATCCATCTCATTGCTCACCTCTCATTGCTCAATCCCAATCCATCCTCATCTGGGCATGCATTGAACTCTTCATATCTTCACGTGACTATCCCTTATCGGCAAACCACTTAGCCATTCTGGGTTTAGTCCCTCGAACCATCTGTAATTTTCGCCCCGCATATTTCACATTCATAATATTTTTTTTTCTTCTCTTTTTTCCCTTTCTCTTTTTTCTCTTGGGAGAAGGAAACTTCAACCCGTCGACTGTACATTTTCATTCAAGAGATTTGATTTCATCAATAACCTCAATTTCTATTCTTCGTACTTCAAAGGTCGACTATCTCTTTGTCATCTTTTCCATTTTTTCTCATTTCTTTGAATTCTTGATTGGAATTCATCCCCCTCTCACTTCTTCCCCGCACACCTGCACACACATCTCTACAACATGTCTCCTCAAGCAAACGGAGATTCCAAGCCGTCTGCTTCAGACTTCTTGGCTCCAGCTAAGCAAGTTTTGGATGCCACAAAGGCTCTCGAAATCCTCAAGGAGTATGAATCTCGCGATGGTCTCAGTATCAATGATCTGATCGATTCCAAGAAGCACGGAGGTTTGACCTACAATGATTTCTTGGTTCTTCCAGGTTACATTGGATTTGCTGCTTCCGAGGTCGTTCTCGATTCCCCAGTTACCAAGCGCATCACCCTCAAGACCCCTTTCGTTTCTTCCCCTATGGACACTGTCACTGAGCACGACATGGCCATTCACATGGCTTTACAAGGTGGTCTCGGTGTTATTCACCACAACTGCTCCGCCGATGAGCAAGCCGAGATGGTTCAAAAGGTTAAGAGATACGAAAACGGTTTCATCCTCGACCCAGTCGTACTTAGCCCACAGGCAACTGTTGGTGAAGTCAAAGATTTGAAGGAGAAGTGGGGTTTCGGAGGTTACCCAGTCACAGGTTCGTACTGCCTTTCTCATTCTCTTACCCCTACCTCTGCACCTTTACATGATTATTAAAACATAATTCAAATAACTTTCGTTCATCCGTATTGACCGCAAGGTCGTGGGGAGACAATTACCTTTTTATGAATTTGGTGTTTCATCTTTACTATCTCATGAAATGATCCTTTCTTGCAGCCGCTAACACATCTGCAAAAACAGAAACCGGAAAGTTAGGCTCCAAGCTTGTCGGTATCGTTACCAACAGAGATATTCAATTCGAAGATGACAGCGCCTCCGTGTCAAGTGTTATGGTTACAGATTTGGTCACTGCTTCATATGGTACTGAATTGGTTGAGGCCAATGCCATCCTCGCCAAATCCAAGAAGGGAAAGCTTCCAATTGTTGACAAGGACGGAAACCTCGTTTCTATGATCTCCCGATCTGATTTGAACAAGAACATCCATTACCCATTGGCTTCCAAACTTCCAGATTCCAAGCAATTGATCTGCGCTGCTGCTATCGGTACCAGACCCGAAGATAAAATTCGTCTTCAAAAGTTGGTCGATGCTCAATTGGACATTGTTATCCTTGACAGCAGTCAAGGTAACAGCATGTACCAAATCGAGATGGTTAAGTATATCAAGGAAAAATACCCTGATCTTGATGTCATCGGAGGTAACGTCGTTACTCGTGAGCAAGCTGCGTCATTGATTGCCGCTGGCGTTGATGGTTTGAGAATCGGAATGGGTAGTGGAAGTGCTTGTATCACTCAAGAGGTTATGGCTGTTGGCAGACCACAAGCTGCTGCTGTCTATAACGTTGCTTCATTTGCTGCTCGTTTCGGTGTTCCATGTATGGCTGATGGTGGTATCCAAAATGTTGGTCACATTGTCAAGGGTCTTGCTCTTGGTGCTACTACCATCATGATGGGTGGTCTCTTGGCCGGTACTACTGAATCTCCAGGTACTTCTTTCGTCAGTCGCGAGGGTAAGCTTGTCAAGGCATACCGTGGTATGGGTTCCATCGATGCTATGCAAGATAAGAAGGCTGGCGCTGGTGCCAAGGACAGCCAAAAGAGCAACGCTGGAACCGCCAGATACTTCTCTGAGGGTGACAGTGTTCTCGTTGCGCAGGGTGTATCTGGTGCAGTCGCACACAGAGGGTATGATGTCCATTAACCATTTTATTTTTCCAATGCTAATAGTTTATAGTTCCGTCACCAAGTTTGTTCCATACCTCGCTGCAGGTTTGAAGCACTCGCTCCAAGACTGTGGACAAATGAGTCTTCAAGCTCTTCACGAGGCTGTTGAGAACGGTACTACCCGTTTCGAATTGAGAACTGCCAGTGCTCAACTTGAGGGTGGTGTCAACATGGAGAGTTACGAGAAGAAGCTTTACGCATGATGTGCTTAGATAACGTTTTATGAAGAGCATGAACATTAAACCTAGTCATCTGGAGGGAAATTCGGATTTATGGAGTTTATTACCTGGCGTTTAAAATAGGACTACATCATTAGTCTTTGGGTGGAGAAAGAATAAAATACATTACAAATACATGTTGTTCTGCATTTGAAGTGAGGTTGACACGAAGTGACAAATTACAACATCAAACTTGTTCTGGAAAGAAACTTGCCGTCGAAATCAACCTACATTAGATGATGGTATTTTGACTCTTCTATCTTGTGTTTTGAATTTTTGCCTCCAGTTCTACAAGGAACTTCAGGTGCTTATGAGAGAATTTACGATAGGAACACCCATCCGATTGGACGAATTTACGACGCATCTATCCACCATCGCAGCACATTGCTGATCTCAAACTCGGCAATGGAGTAGATGATGCAATTCAAACCCTTCATGCATATATGAAATACTTATACAGAACTGGATCGAAGTCTTGGAGAACTAACAAGTGTATCCTTATACAGATTTTTGATGATCATGAGGAGTGATGTCTTGCTCTCGTGGAGCGAAAGAAAAAGCTAGTAGCAAGAAGGAGGAGAAGGAGGAGGAGGTGCTGGTGGTGGTGGTGGCGATGGTAGACGTTAAAGGCTTCACGGTGCTTGGTACAGTAGATACAGTACTATGTGCTTCGCTATTTCAACTATTGAGCGGTTGGTGTGATTAATCGCATTAATTCCATCCTGATCATCTGAACACAAAGATAGGAAATTTGCATTTCATAATTATGTCCCCGCCCTCGCCCCCACCCCCATCCCCGATAAAACAAACTCCTTTTCCGCTCGACTAGCACAAAGCCATTCTCTCCCTCACTCAGATGCTGTGGTACTTCAAGTCCCGAGTGGAATAGCACTTCATGATTGATACCGATTTAATGGCAAAGTCTTTTGCGAGCAAGCCAAACATGGTTCTCCATGTTGGTAGCTTGTCATGTATGCAAGTCTTTGGCGTCGTGGTTTGTCAAAGCCTCTCGTACATGATCACCGTGAGTTAAAGGGCTGTTTGTGACTACCAGATCATCCTAAACGTACTTCTGTGATGGGTTGATAAAGCTGGCGTGGGCAGCGGTGGCGACGAGGGTGGCGGAGCTAAACACTAGGAGGTTTCGTGGTGCTTGGTGGATGGGTCTGTTTAAATGTATATAATTAAATTATTCAATCTTTGAATCTAATTCAATCCTTGAATGCATTCTAATTTCTGAAATTATTTTGATCTCTAATTCAATTCTAGTCTTGAAAACTTTTCTAATCTTTACAGCTACTCTAACTAACATTTAAAGGGGGTTGGAGATTCCAAATAGTTTGATTGTTGGACTACATCCTGGACTTTTTGACACTATGCCTAAGGCTGTTCATTGATGAATTTCTAGTCATTGTATTGTAAAATCTACGTTGTATGAATCACGAGGCAGATATGATGCGAATGAAGATGATTTGAATGGGGAACTGTGTACAATACGGAACAGAAAACCATTTATCTATGCAGGTATAACAAACTCAACCCATGAAGAAGACGTTCGCGAAGTCTAGATTTTCTTCGTTTCGGCCTGTGCAGCACGTAATCCTTTTAAAGTTTGTCGAACCTATCTCCTTAGATCCCTTGGAAGATTTTCGACTTGAAAGCTTTCAACATCACGGTTTCGAGGTTGAAAGTGTAGGGGCCAATAGGTAGTCACTAGAAACATCATCTGGAAGGATGAATACATATCTTACTTTGATGAACCTGGTATCTCGGGGCCAAAGATATGAATTGGTTGAGGTCTGCCAATCTTGACATCGCCGTCAGGATGTGTTTCATAATCCCAATCTGGCTTCCTCGTTCGTGATAGCTCACAAGCTAACAGTACCCCGCATTCCGAGTAAAGATCTGGTTCCCACAATGACTCGATAACTCGACGCTCCACGTAAAAGTAGGAACTCGCAGGCTCCTCTGCCATGAAGAGGGTGGAAACCTTACCATAAAGCTCTTCGCTCTTGGCTTCTAAGCCGCTCGAAAGAATACTTGGTAGGTATGAAAGACTCGTGCCATGAAAAAGCACCATCGGCCCTGTTTTCTCATCATTGGGTTTTTGGGGATGTACCAGAAGAGTGCTTCGGTGCTTGAACAACCACAAACTGATGGGCGGACGCTGGGAATCCGGGTATCATCAACTTACCATTCGCTGGGATCAAGTATCCTCCGTAGTTTTCAGAGAGATGCTTTACGAGTTTCAAGCACTCAGGTGCTTTTTCAAAAGTCTCTGCTATCTTCCGCTTGGGACCCATATTTGCAAAGATTTCGGGAAATCCCTCCGTAAAGTCGTCAAGAGTTATCAATTGGGGAGAGCCAGGGAAACTTATCGGATAGCCACCTCGTAACATAGCATCCGCATAAACCGAACTCAGAAGTAAATCGATGACTTGAGAATTCAATTTGATGGCGGCAGAAATCTCCAAGATAGATCTGGGCATTGAAAGATCGTCGAGGTCATTTTCCCCTTCCTTGCCATTCCAATCCAAATGCTAAAATCGAATTAGTCTTGTCAAAAAGGGGTGAGAATGCTCCATCCTCCTAATCGGAACTCTTGTGACTTACACGTCTTTCAGAAGCAGATTGATACAATCTATTCTGGTCAATCCATCACTATCATGAATCAATTCTTCCTTCTGGACCGTTTCGCGTAATTCTGCTCCTGTCATTTTCCACCATCCCGCAATAGTATTGATGAGAACCGGATCAAGAAGCATTCCTGGTTTCAGGTATCCAATTTGATAGAGTGCGTAAACGGCTTGAAGAATAGGCTTCAAAGAATGGCGATAAAAATTGACCTTCGAAGCGGCGAGCTTGCGAAGTAGTGTTTTCTTTGTGGTGGACATGGTATTTAAGACCTTGCTAAGACTAGATGCTGAAGCCATTGTTGCTCGTGATAATGACCGAGGTGAGGTAAGAGATTCGGTGGATACTGTTGTTGAAATTTCCAATCGCTTTGTATAGGCTTTGTCGAGGTACTTGGGATGAATGAAAGGGTTGACTCGACGATGCTTCATTGGAAACTATCCTTTCTTATACTTATCTATGGTAGCAAATAGACACTATGTCTCGAGGATGGAATGGAATCGATTCATCAACGAGATTCGTGCAAAATCCGCACATGTTTCAAGGCTAGAAATTAACTGAATCAACAATGGGAGAATGTTTCAGCCATCTACAATACTCACTCTAGAGTATCTTTGGGAGTTGCGTAGTCTATTCCACCAAATTGACTAAGGATATTACTACAATCAGACCATCTTATCCTCGAATTGGAACTCAATAGATACCTCCATGATCTTCATGGCCAAAGAACATAACTCCAAGGCCCAGAACCTTCTACTAGAGACTTCATTGAGGTAGGCATCGAGTTTTCCTTCGATAACTTATGCTGCGAAGTTTGACTATCTGTACGAAACAAATCAGGTCTCTAGCATGGCAACTTTTTACCTTGATCAACTTCAATCTGTGTAAAAAAGAATGGTTCGTCGCAGACCAGAGAACAGAGAAGAGTGAGACAATCCCTCTGTGGTTTATTTCTTCCGACTTGACTATCTGCATATGCACATCTTCCATCCAACAAACATGACTTGAGAGCTACTAAGCTTTGAGGCCTCGGAGGATTTAGATTAGAACGCAGAATCAGAACCATCAAACTTCACTAGTATGTGCAGTATTCATTAAAAAAAGTCACCCTTCAGCCGTCACATGAACAAAATCACTCGCCTTTGGATTCAATTCCGTCGATTGTTTATTAACATATGTATATTTAATTCCAACACAACCTTCCATTTTCATCTGGAATAGCATCGTTGCTAACCACACTAGCAACTTCACTTCCAACTCCGGTCTTTGTCCAGAATAATGACCATGGATCAGTCGCATCCTTAATGCTCAACAATCTATCGTAATTCACACCATAGAAATTATGTTGCCAGTCTACCTCCTCAATATCGCACTCCCCAAGATATGCTCCCGTGCCCGGGGTAACAGCTTTCCACGCAAGTTGGAGTTCGCTAAGCTTGGCCCGAGCGGAAGCCATAGTGGTGAAATTGGTAGGATCTGTCCATGAAGTACCTTGCATAGTGTGAAGAGTAGTCTTTCTCCAAGCGGGCAAAACGGCATTATCAACCCCTGCGAAATTTGGTGCATTGATATTGAAACCTACGAGTAATGAAGCATTGTTTCTCGATGAGCCTGACCAAGCATCGAATGTTGCGTTGAATGTTGCTTCATCCTCAAGATATTCTTGTAGAAAGAGCCGGGAACCAACAATAGCGTCATCGGAACCAACCGTTTCTTGAGCGAAAGATGCATCCCATCCTTCGTATAGTGTATCATAGGTGTTGTATACTGGTGTAAAGTCTATGCCGAGTGCAGTGAGTTTTTCGAACCAAGGTGCCAACAAGGCTTCAGTTTCGGCTTGGGTGTAATTTGGAGCCCAGAATGGAGACATAATGAAATAATCCACCCCAAAAGCTGCAGGAGGAAAAACGAAGAAGTAGCTGTAGATTCCTGCATTATTAAAGGTGATAAAACTCTCCCAATAAGCACGGACACCAAGCCAGAAAGCATCATCGGTGACATTGCCACCAGAGGCGAATGTGAAAGTTACAACTGTGACGGGAGTCGTTGGGTAAGCTTTGATTGTGAGAGATGTCGCCACACCCCAAGATGCGGGACCACCTCCACGTAAAGCCCAGAAACGATCGGTGTTTTCAGTCGAGGATGCAGTAACAAATCGTCCATCGGCTGTGATAATACGAGCAGAGATGACCTGATCTGCAGCAAGACCATATACTGAAGTCATAGGGCCGTGTCCTCCACCTTGAATGTAACCTCCTAGAACCCCGACATCCCTTGCTTCGCCGCCAACAACAACCATTCCCTGCTCGCTAGCCGCTTTCATGATATCTACACCAACAACACCACTTCCAGATGTGAAAGCGGGTCCCGTGTAAGGGAAATCCGCATCGGTGTATTCAGCACCCTCATATCTGATATCTTGTAACCAATGAGTCCAAACACTCAAAGCACCTGCTCCACCGGATTTACCAGAGAACTCATGTCCTGTATTCTTAACCACGAATCTGATGCCAGTATTTCTTGCAAAATTGACGGCAAGTTGTATTTGTGCGACATTTGTGGCATTGACTGCGTAAGCGGGATAAGCGCCAAGTGTGCAGGTTGCTGTTGGGTCGCTGGTAGGCATGCAGGTTAGACCTTGATATATTGGGGACATCATGGATGTGGGATTCTCCTCGTGCATGGTAGAGTTAGTCCAATTGTCTGTGACAAAGGCACATTTATCTGCGTTCTAAGTCATTGATTAGTATCATTTCGTTTGAAGAACCAATTTGATCAAGTAAGTAATGTTTTAAGGTAAATTTGGACATTGAAGACACATTTGTTTGGGGAATCGCGTGGGATATTCCACCTTATTTGAAGATTTTGCGTATAAAAGTAGACTCACATAGTCCCAATCATTATAACAGCTTGATGCGATTGGTATAGTTTTAATCAAGGCACCACCAAGTAGGTCATTGAAGATATCCCAAACATCATCCGCCGGCCAATCCGCATCTCCAGGAAAGACTTTACACGCCGATCTAGAAGAAGCAATGCTTGATGCATCTACCGAAGAAGCATTCCCAAATGTGAAAAGCGCTTGCATGGAAGCATTGAGTTGTGCGAGATCTGAAGTTTTCAACTGGATAGTCTCAAAATCAAAGAGTGCTGTTGAAGAAGTGCTATTATCTTGTCTGCGAGCATTTGTAGCAGCAACTAGACCAGCATTGAAAGAAACAAAGTTGTAAAAGAGTGAAGACTTCATCTTGACTTTGACCACTCTGAGATAGTCTCAGATAGGATAGAACAATGGATATGATGAAGGTATGCTAATGAAGGTATACTAATGAAGGCTACAATAGCGATGAAGTGAAAGAAAAAGCCTACGAATCATCGGGATCAACTTGCCTTTTCATATTGAAGACCAGATTCGACATAAAAACCATACAATATAAACGTGTGGATTATCACGATATGTGTGGAGTAGTCGTTCCGAGTTTGGTAAAGCTAGAGACCAAATGGAGATAAACTGCCTTATGGTGTGGCAAGACACGGCGAAAACATCGATACTTGATACCGGATGATGGTAATTGATGTCCGAGAATTGAAGAGTACATGCAAATAGGTTGCAATCACAGATGAGAAGCAGCATTTGCGTGCCGGTGGTGTTTATCTGAATGAAGGGGCGAGAAAAGAGCGGCGAGCGACTAACAAACATGGATATGCGGGGCTAAAGATATCCATTTAGTATGATAGCCGTGAACACCTTAACGTTGAGAATCTGGAGGTGGATATATGTCCGTTCTTTGTGGAAATGCTTTTCTCATCGTTGTAAAGATCATTAAGATAGAATGGAGCTCCGCCTACTTAGTCTCGATCGTTTATTTCTCGGCTGTGCTCTTGAGTAAGAGGTGAAAGGAAAGAGAATGAAGGAGAGGAAGAAAGAGGGACCGGAAGGATGGAATAGAAGAAGAGTCAAAAGATATAGGTATGTCTGTACCCAAGATATTCAAGATGTATTTCAAGTAAGCACATACATATGCAGTGTGATTAAATTTTCAATCTTGCAGAGGAGATCAACTACCACCAAATGCTTTGACGACGACGCCTCTTCCGTTGACGGTTCCTCCATTCTTCCAATTCCCGTCGAGGTAACCAAAATATAGATATGCTTTGACTATTTTTTTAAACACAAAAAATAAGCAACTGAGCCTTCTTAGGAGTCAGGGGCGCTGGCCGGTCGATGCCAAAAACTTAAGATTGTGGATAAATTAAACAGAGTAGTATTGGTCGGGTTCTCTCAGGATTCCTCCCGCACCCTACAGGGCTTATACACATAAATTTTCTTCGGTGGGTCTACGAATTAGTTACTATATCAGAAGGATTCGCAGTGCCCTGCCATCTGTAGATTAATAGCTGCAAGATTACTTCGTAAAATACACTTCGAGTTTGGCCATTAAAACATTATGCACTCGTGTACCTAGTCTCCTAGTGACTTTACCTCGGGTGTACCAAGTGCCAATATAAGCTTATCTCCCACAATTTAGCCACTTATATGTCAAAACATATTCGCCCAGTGTTGAATGCAGGCAGCGGGATGATTCAGCGAAGAAAAAGAAAGGATAGATTGGGATGAACGGGTGGACGTTAGCATACTAGAGAGCTAGAGTACTCTATGTAGTACTCCATCTATAATTCCGGAGCCTCTAGGTCCTGAGTGCGATATCAACGTTGTTACTGTAGTCCACAGGATCAAGACTCAAATGTTCGATACATATCCAAACACCGAGGACTGTACTCCGCAACGTCGTATTCCTGTACGAAGTAATGTCATCGGGACCGAGATAGGCTTATGTTAGGCTTGTTTTGGCAGGCCTAATCTACTTATAACATTTATCCCAGGTTCAAAACGAGCTAACGGCGACTGGCATCTACATGCAGGCAGGCCATTAGCCATGTATCACGAACAGGGGCAATTAGCTTCCGCTCTTAAGCTAAGGTCTACCTCAAACCACACTCTTTCGTCCCTTCAACAATGGACCCCGCGCAAGGATCGGCGGGTAGCACGGGAATTGGTCAGAGCGACAAGGGCAGATCCAACCACTATCCAGTCGTTGTTCTTCCCTCAATTTCGTACGCCTGTCATATCACCTCATCCACTCGATGGTGCAATAGTCATAGCTAGCTTCTACTGTTGCACATTCAGTTGATATTGCTTCACGGATCATGCAAACAAACCGACTGAGATTTTTTGAGCCAAAGACGCAAGGCATGATTAGTGTTAGGTAGATCTCTATCGAGCATGTGGGATATCACCCCAATGGCCAAAATTACCTATGTAAGCCAAGGAAATGGATAGTTGTTCTCCAACTTTGTATTGCTGTCTTTACTTGATAATCCTTTCCTTGAGTAGGATTGAAGTATTCAAACGGCCAAGGGCTTATCCTGCAGATCCCACTTCCCCATCACTCACCCCTGATTGTATTACCCCCTTCTTGGACCTCACTTTCTAGCAAATAGAAGACCAAAATAGCATTTGCACGGTAACACAAAATGTAGGGTAGTATTGGGGTAGTATTGCTAAGAAATCCAGGAGGTCCTAATTCAAATGCGCGAAGGAACAGATTTGTGAATTTTCACCGAGATCTTCTATTAGCGACCAGAGTCCAGACATCAATATATGATATTATCCATCGCTTTCAAACCTTATTTTCTAAACTGATCGGAGCCCCCTTGATGAACTTTCAGTCTAGTGGAGTACCTTTTGCGAGGTACCATCTTCGCCTTTTACAATGGTCAAGCAACTGAACACCGCATGTTTGGTCATCATCGTTGTTTTTGAAGTTGTTGGCTCAATCTTCTGCTTTGGGCGTTTAGCCTCAAGGTTAGTATCAAAACCGCCATGGAAGGGACTGATGATGTGGAGTGAGTCTTCTGAAGTTTGATCTAAACTGCTTGGTTGCTAAATGTTTTTTTAGGTGATATCTGTATGGGTATAGCTTGGGTAAGACATCATTGAGAATTAAGGTTGTCATCTAAAATTGAGGCTGAGACAAATATAGGTTCTATCGGTTGTGGAAACTGTCGCTATATACGGATGTGAGTAACTTTTTTCAAGCAGACTGATGGGGACTTTAAAGTTTCTGGTTTTCGCAATGTCTCTTTATATACGAAAAATTTGCTTCGTAGATACTTTCTGCAGAACTATGGAAGGGCTTATCAACTACGTCTAGATGATGAAGTTTGGTTCCAATCATGCTAACCTGGACACTAGTAACATCGTACGCAAAATATGGCTATAAATCATCAGATCTTGCCCAATTCAATATCGACATACCTACCGAGATGAAATGGTCAATGTTTGATTCCCTTTGCTATAATCCGATCCTCGGTTTCGTCAAGGCCTCCATGATTCTCCTATATCTTCGACTTGGGGGAATAAGACAAACAGTTCGATATGCTTCATATGCACTCTTATGCATCAATTTCGCCCTTATGATCGCCATCTTCTTTGTCGATATGTTTCAATGTGTACCGTTTTCATACAACTTCTACTCGACAGAGATGGACCTGGCGGCTCAGATTAAAGCAAATGCCACAGATCCGGGAATCGGACCTTATGGGCCTGTAGCATCTGGGTTCAAAGATGGGAAGTATATATCGGGCGGGAAATGCATCAATGGTGTCAATTTTATATTGTCAACCGCTGGTTTGACTATTTTGACAGACTTACTGGTTCTATGCATTCCAATCTATATGGCAAAGGATCTCAAAATGAATCCACGGAAAAAGGCTGCAGCAATCACAATTTTGTGTATGGGCTTGGGGTATTGATCATTATTCCCATTTTGTATTTGTCGCGAGCTAACCCTTCTTTTCAAGTGTTACTGCCATCGGAATTTGTCGTCTTGTTTTTACTTATCGTGCATTCTACCCCGATGTTCCAGACCCGGGATTGAATGTCAACAGCACCATATCTCAAATAGAAACTGGTCTTGCATTGGTTATAGGCTGCATCCCTGATCTTCTGCCTCTTTTTCGCCTACTAATACCTGGCTTCTTAAATTTTGCGACCAGACAATCAACTCATCCAGCTCGGTATCCTTACCCCTCAGCTTTCGGTTCCAAAAAGAAGCCGGAAGACCGAAGCGACATTCTCAAAAACACCATGTACGAAGAACATGGACTAGACATTTTGAAGTTACGTCCCAACAATGGATTGATACAACGTGAGACGCAAGTCAGAGGTGCTGCGAGTACCGATAGCTTGACTGGTAGTCAAATAGAAATGTTCGACAAAACTATGGACGACAAGACGGATTCAAAGACAATTATAAAGACAACACATTTCTCGATGAAAGAATCGGACCTAAATGATCCAAGGAACACTTGGAGTAATGTCTGACTTAGTCAATAAGATTTCTTTTGAACTCCTTTGTTTTGGCTTGTTGATTATAGAGTCGAAAGGGCATTTAGCCTGTATGTTTTAGAGCCTGCGAGAAAATCATCGTGTCAAAATCTTTGCGGATTTTGTATGCCGTAAAGGTCATGACTCATGTCTTTTCTATCTTTGGCCGTATTGCATGGTTGTATTGCAATTCATATATTGTGTAAATGTTATACAATCATGTAACTCTGAGGTCTTTTGATGCTGGAAGGGGCGTGGGGGTCATAAGGAGTTTTCCCCTTTGTCTCTATACTCCCAGGCACACAAACTGTACCGCAATGTGTGCAGTGCACACCATAATTTTAATAGCCAGGAGCAATTACTTTGACAAGAGTGACGAGGAGTGTTGCTGGAAATTTAGTATGTACCATTGACTGGCCTCAAAGCGTATGTAGCTTCTTCCCATTTGGTTACATGTATGGAGAAACACTACAACCACATCTATTCCCTTCTTTTGGTGCCTCGAAATACTATGCGACTACAATCAGCCGCTTCTCTCCTTTCTATTTTTCCTTCCGATCCGAGAGAAATCCCACCAATGGGGGTAATGATCTACGACATTACCCCAAAGTTGTGTTGTCAGCTGCGGGGAGCTGCACACAACTGCATTTGAGGCTGGCTTGGCATATATAAAAGAACCAACGACCAGATATTTACGAGACCGACGACTTGGAAAGTTCTTCTGATGTGATAAAGTTCACGTCTGCAGGAAGAACATTTTAAAATGCATTCCGTGATGGAGCAAAAAATTCCGTTTGCCAACACTTTTACCCCGCAGTCCGTCTTGGATGGACTCTGAAGACCCCGGATAATCAAGACAGAGTTAGATCGGAATATCCACGTAAAATTTATAAAGTACACTTGGTCCAGCGTGTGGGAGAAGTTATTCTGGAAGTTCATCTCTGGAAATTGATCAGCCTTTGCATATCTTCTTAATATTTAACTTTGAAAATCAGAACCCTCCAAGCAATTGCCACAGTCGACGTGTGCATAGTGATATTCCTCGAGAGTTCAGAATCCAAGTGACTTCCACCATGAAGTTGTTAGAATTTACTGCCGTGATATCTTCACTGGTTGTCCTTACTCAAGCTGGCAATGGCAATGGCAACGGTCATGAGAAAGCGAAAACCTGCACAATACCCTCAAAATACAAATCCTCAAATGGAACAGCCGATGACTCGCCAGCAGTAGCTGCCGCATTTGTCAATTGCTCATCAAACTCAATTATTGAGTTCAAGAAAGGTGTCGATTACAACATCTTCAGCCCAATCTCCGCAAAGAACTTGTCAAATGTGATCATTCGTCAAGAAGGCAATCTTCATCTTCCCCAAAACATCCCCTATATCCAAAATCTTGTCACAACCTCCAATGCACTTACATATACCACCGCTTTATACTGGTTTGCATTTGCCGGTCCCAAGATTCAGTATGAAGGATCAAAAGACATTACGACAGGGTGGATAAACTCGTATGGCCAAGCATGGTGGGACGCGAATCCCGTCAATGGAACTGGTCTTGCCAATCGACCACATCTCTTTCAACTGAACACTACAAACGGCGGTATGAACTATTTCAAATCACGCAAGCCAATAGCATGGAATGTTCAACTTCTGGGAAGTAACATCCGAGTCAAAAATAGCATCATTGATTCTTTCTCTACGGGTACCGGTTTTCCATTCAATACCGATGGATTTGGTGTCACGGCTACAAACGTTCACATTTCTGATTCTATCATATACAATGGAGATGATGCATGTGCTGTTCAATCTGGTTCTCACAACGTTCTTTTTGAGAAAGCAACGATCGGGTATCAATCTCATGGCTTGTCCATTGGCTCTCTTGGACAAAATCAAGCTTCATTCGCCAACGTATCAAATATCCATTTCCGTGATATAACAGTTGTGGATGCAGTCTACGCTGCCCGATTCAAGAGTTGGATTGGAGGCCAAGGAATCGCAAAAAATATCACATGGGAAGATATCCGCGTGTACAATGTTTCATTCCCGATTTTTGTCACCCAAACCTACTACAATCAAGGGTCTAACGCGACTCAGCTCGAACCTGGACAGATCAGTGGACGCCCGAACAACGCGAGTGTCAATATGGAGGATTTCACGTGGAAAAACTTTCGAGGAACAATTAATACCTTTGAGCCTGGGGATGGTACTTGTGTTTCAGACCCATGCTGGTACGATGCCGGATTGCCAAATTTGCAGCAGACAGAAACCATTATCATCGAATGCAATACCGAGAGTTCTTGCAAGAACTTCAGTTTGGAGAATATTGAGATCTATCCACAGGATTATAGAAACCCAACAGTGATCTGCATCAATGCTACGAGTACGTTGAATCCAGATCTGGGATTCAATTGTGCCAATGGAACGTTTGTTCCTTTGAGTTGAGGTGGGATTTAGAGATGAGAATATGATAAGCTAAGATTATTAAGGGATGAACATTTTCCACGTACCACTGGTGATTCAGAAAAGTGACTTCATTCTATCAATGTGATCTCAGCCCCCACAGTCATCTTTCCAAGTGTTTAAAAAATGAGCCTCAAAAACGCGTTGAATTCTTTAAGCCCACATTCATTTTGGATGATACCTACGGACCTGACGCCGAGGTGTAGATATGAAGCGTCATCACATTTATACGCGGTACATCAAGACATTTATGTGATGTACAAGTTCCAACTCCGTCATTGGAGCAACCGAAGTTCCCACGTTGGATCAACTAATCAATTATAATGCTTGGATAATGAATTATGGAGGTAAATGGAGGAGAACCTGGTGGAAGTAAAGTACCTTTCTGTGCTCAAATATCTCCTGTAAGTATTCTGGATGGAGCTGAAGTCATGCATCGATAGCATGCCGGTTTGATCGAAGAAGCTTTGAGATATATTCCCTACTCTTAGCTTTTCGATGACTGCACAGAAAAGTATATCCAAAATCCAAAACCCACATTTGGCGTCATCAAGGACAAAAAGTGGCGGGGCGCCAAGACGTTTCATAGAAAGCAGTTGACGAAAAAGGAACGAAATTAAAGTTGTTTTTCAAGGGGTTGTGGGGCCTCTGCTCACTGCATTTTTTACCCCTTCATTTTCGAGAAAAATATTTTGGGATCTCAGCGGTAAGAAACTACAATGAGAACATCAAGAACAACAAGAACATCTTTTTTTTTTTTGGATGACATTGATATAAGAGGATATGAGAAGTATATTTGATATGTGTGCCAAAGGTTACTATCCAAAATTTACAATTTCAAGTCAATTTTTCATCTTTTTATTTCATACTCTCGAGACTTTCTTTCCCACTTCTCCAAGAGCTACCATCAAGCCAATCGGGAAGCCACAGTTACCAGTGCACCAAATAAATTGCATTTTTCCCAGATGAGGCTTGACTTCAGATGAATTTGGTAGAAAGGAAATGAAGGTTTAATATATGATGTATTGGGTTAATGCCAGCCATGGTTTTACAAGGATTGGGCCAATGGAGCTTCATGCTTATCCGAATGAAACGTTCTGCTCTTCGCATCAAGCGACTAACAGCATAGCCTTCAACATTAAGATAAATGAAATGGCGACTTGAGCTAATATGTCAACAAGGTACTGTTCATAGATATCAGATAGGTTTGTAAACCACTGGTTCGAAGAATTTCCAGCATAGCAATATATGAATATCTCAACCGGCTGAATGATCGTTGTCCCAGTAGGTATCAAAATCAAACCACATTATCGAATGAGAGAATGAACTGAATTTGAACAGCGCGTCTATTTCCTTTTATCTATTCGCTGGAAAATTGTGGAGTAGAATCTGTGAATCGTATATCTCACACATCTTCTAACAGAAGATCACCAAATCAAGGTTGGCAAACGAAACGTTCATCTAAAGATCTTGTTTCTCTGAAACGGACAAGGGTGTTATTTCGATTCCCCCAGGACTGGCATCATACATCGATTCGATTCATGGCGCGTGCTTTTCAGGTCTATATATTGAGTTGGCTCTCATGGTGGTAACTTTCCTCTTCTCTATTCTTTCTCTCCAAGTTAGTCTTTTTAGCTCGTCGTCTTTATTTTTACTCTCTTCACTTTCTCTAAACACATTCATTTCAAAGTGTGATCTGTGATCCACGACATTCATTTTTACAATTTTACATTCATTCTACTACGAACCTACACACAAAATTCTATCAAGATGTTCTCCAAATCAATCATCGCCGCTTCCCTCCTCACAGCAGTCACTGCTCATCAAAACTTCCATCAATTTTGGGTCAATGGAGTTTCTCCAGGATATCAAGTCTCTATCCGCATGCCACCTTCCAACTCCCCAGTTCTCGATGTAGCATCGGATAACATCACCTGTAACGTCAACGGAAACGTTGTCCCATCAGGTGTCAACACAACCGCCGCAAATGAGGGAGATGCTATCACAGTTCAATGGGACCCCTCTACCCATCCAGGACCTATTCAACATTATCTTTTCGGTCCAGTTGATGATGCGTCCATGGCTACTGGTATCGGTTCATGGTTCAAGATTGATGAGTATGTTGAGGTCAACGGTACTTGGGCCTCCAACCTCATGGATGCTGGAAACATGAGCTACACTTTCAAGCTTCCTACCGGAATGGCATCTGGTGAATACTTGGTAAGTTTTCCTATTTTCATCTTTTATACTTCTCCATAAACTAACAAATCATCACACAGCTCCGCTCAGAGATGCTTGCTCTTCACTCAGCCCAGACTGTCGGGGGTGCTCAATGGTACATTGGGTGTGCTCAACTTTCTATCACCGGTACTGGTGGAGATTCATGCGGACCATCCATTGAGCTTCCAGGTGATTACAACGCTACCGACCCAAGTATCTATATCCCAGATATTTACTATGGCTTTGACATATCCACCTACACACCTCCCGGAGGAGCCATTGCCACATGTGCTGCTTCCGGAGCTGGAGCCACGGGTGCAGCCAGCGCCACAGCTGTTGCAACATCTGCTGTTTCTAGTGCGGCTCCATCATCAAGCGCAGCAGCTCTTTCATCGAGTGCCGTAGTCGCACCAAGCTCTGTCGCCTCATCCGTAGAGGGCTCATCCAGTGCGGTACTCCCATCAAGCTCCGTAGCCGCCATTGTTACTTCTGTACCAAGCACTCTCGTAACAGCCACTTCTACACCAGCAGCCACTAGCTCGGCGGTTGAGGTTGGTGATGATGAGTGTGATGCATAAACTTGACGAGTAATGTATCAAGTGAGGGAAATATGTTTGGATTCTTTTGTATATATATCTAGATCTATTCACTGTATATGAATAGCCTTGGCACTTGTCACTGTACAAATAGAGACTGGTTGAGCTTTGAATGTTAAGTGGTTACCAATTATGAAGTGCATCATTGCCTTGGTGTCAAACTTAGACGGATTGCAAAAAAAAACCCCCCCACTTGCGCCGGGTTCGCTCGAGGATAACAGGATTGGCGAACGAGATAAAGAAGCTTGAAGTCAAAAGAGCCATCAAAACAAGCGTTAAAACGGATGTATTATAAAAGTTCGTTTTCGTTGAATAGTGGAATCAAAGTAGGATGTTACACGCTGGTTTCCGTACATTATATCAATACCAATACAAGAAATGCTTTGATTATTAAGAATATGGAGCAAATCTAACGACTTCATTTTCGGACGTCAGTAAAGACGATCAAATTCCTGCGATGTTAAAAATGCAAGGATCAGCTCATTACTCAGAATGCATCCTTCTCGCAACCTGAATGAGCACCCTTTGCAAATTCATATCACTTCCCGCAGCCGATGATCCCCTCCTACCCATTCCCTTTGCCACTTCGACTAAAGTCTCTCCCAAAAGTCCACCGATATCCTCACCCAATCTTGCCATAACTTTGTTCCATTCCCTCTTATACCGCTCGTGGGTGTCGACTATAATCTTGACATTCTGGTCGAGAGTATCTTGACACTCTTGTGCACCGTTTGTATTGCCAGCTCGAGTTTCCTTGCGGAATGCACGCAGTAGTTCGCTTGTTTGACGGAGAACGGGTTGGACGATGGCTTGGTGGTCTTTTTCGATTTGTTCGAGCTCTGAGTAGTAGGGAGTTGCTTGGAGGATAAGCACGATTTGTTCGTGGGTTTTATCTGACATTGTGATTGATAGTGTATCGTAGCTTTGTAAGTTAAGAATCACTGGGGTGTCTTTTTCGTTGAGTGTTGTTTATTGCTTTTGATAGTCTGGAGAGGTAAGGATAAGGACTCCATGATAGGAAGGAACGACATACAATGGTTTAAATTCCAATGCTTGATTCAATGATAGCCGGATATCTTACTGGCGCTTTACTAATCAACAACTCGAAGGATATTCTGTTATTCCTGAATGTCGAAACTTCTGACTATAGCAATCCGGGATATTTGCAGAGCTAGATGTTATGATCGAGCCCTTGGTTATCCAATCATGAATATTTTCTTACCATGCCAGATGTTAGGGCAGTGAATGATTTAGGGATGGTCCAGGGATGTTTCGAGGCATTCACTCGAATTGCTTGCCCCTACCATAACACAAAGTGAATGTGTGTCTTAACCGTTTCATATGTGACGATACGACTTCAATTTCAGCTCAAGACCATCATTTCTAATCACGGATTCGTACGGTATATGTTCGAGCCTATTCAAGTTATGAATTACGTTTTTCTTCCAGACACCCAATCCAAAATCATCGTTTACATTGATTACTTCAAAATAATTCGAAGTCAATCTAACCTTCGATTGTCTCAACAACTCAGTTGCACTACACCATAAACAAACATTTTGAAAGCAGGAGCTCTGCATCATGAATGCCAAGGAAAGCGCGGCTGGCCAGGTCATTCAAATCCCTCTTGAACATAATGCGCATCGTAATGTACAACAAGCTGACAGAAATTGTAGGTCGCCACAGTGAATACACCTCAGCAAATAAATAGTTCACCCTCAAGCACTCGGCACCAAGATAGGAATGACAATGAATAAGATCGTGGCCTGGGTGCCATTGATCAGATCGCACATAGTGAAGAGATCATAGGTAGGGATACCAAAGTCGATATGAGCAATGGAAATATACCTGCAATCAAATCCACTCCGGAAACATTTCAACTTTTTCGAGATCTGCCACCAGAGTAAAGGTTAAGGATATGGAAGTTTGCAGGTTTGCAGCCACGCATCATTCATGTTTCCAACTACAACAATACGTGGCCAGAAAACGTCTATCTTTGTCCAAGTATGCCGCAGCAGTGTCCTTTGACAATGACGTGTATAGAGCCGCGTGATGTGGTGCTGAAGTTTAATAAGCCCCTGCAAGGTCCCAATTTAAGATCGAAAACTTACATGGAGGATGCTGAGCGACGAGGTCCTCACACCACTGGTACGGAATTAGACACTCAAATTTTTGGCCAAGTCGAAGCCGAAATGGTACGGAGAGAACAGCCAATCATTCATGCCAACCTTAATATCGACGTAATCTGGCCTCATACAGGAGAATGTTGGACAGACATGATCCACCCTATGGGGGAGGGGGGAGGGGGGAGGGGGGATTTATAGGGATGAAGCGGATCATAGTACCAAAGAATGAACACAACTACCCTGCGAAAGTTCTAGGTGTAATGCCTCGCCTAGTTGACAATCGGTCTCTCGGTGTCTATCAATGGGCTAAATCTCTGGATGCCCAAGAGCTTTATTTTCTCCAGGAGGACGACGAAGATTTCAGTATCATCGAAGAAAGCACTCAGGTATCACATCTATGTGAAGTATTTGTGTCAGAAGCATCTCTTAACCAACTAGTATGGGAGGGGATGAGATGCCAGGATCATTAGAGGACATTCATAAGGCACACAAAAAAGGCTTCAACGAATCCCGCAACTTCACGATAAAATTAAAATGTTTCCAATGGATCTAGTTGAATCAGGTATGATCAATTCTCACCTTTCCAATCACTTCTTGAAGCCCAATGTAACTAATGTGAACTTTCAGGACGTCTTGATGACGAAGATCAATGCGAATTAAAAAGACTACAGGCCTGGGAACCACCAAAGATTAAGTACATCAAAGAGTCACAGATCGAGGATATTCTATGATAAAAATCATGTTGCACTTGCCGCAGGGAGTAAGGCTGTAGAGTCACACCAAAGATATGGTGTTCAATACTTCTGACTGGAAGCTGGCAGTAAGATGCTTGTCAATTATTGATTCTGTTGGGAATAATTGAATCTTTTGAGAAGATGAGCTAGCTTGGTGGAATGAACGATCCCCCTGCCCTGCGGTGATCTTATGGTCGGATCACAAACCAAGCCACTTAGCTATATATCTTAATAAAAATTCAATCAAAAATCTGAGTTCCTATTGGGCAATGCATCTACGTGATTGGTATATTTGCATCTGTTTGACCACTCTGTCTTGCACCCACTAACGTGCATCCTAAAAGCTTTATCAGTATATCCAATTGAATAACCAGCCGGTGTACTCATTGGACTTCCTTGAATTCTCAAAGTTCACACCAGTTTATACACTAAAGTCAGAGAGTAAAACAGTGCAATGAAAATGAAACACCGCACAAGAAATATAGCGAGTTGGATGGAATTCACAATATTGCTACAAAACGTATGCATAGGGGTATCACTCCGCTCCTGTCCCGCGCTCAAACAGACGCTTTTATCTCAAACATTTCCTGCCATCTGACATATATTAACTATATGTATGTCTTGCATGATCAGGTCAAAATAGAAGGGGGATACTGTGGAATCCGACGTGTATAATGATCTGTGTGAGTGGGCACCTTACAGCAGCCCACTCCACCCGCGCTCCGTTTACAGCAACTCCAGGACCAATCGCTAAGCCAATGGGATGCTCCGTAAATAGCCAGCATTTCGTCGACGGATTTTCCTTGATAACATCTCTCACCATGCTGTTCGACGAGCTTTGGAAGGGCTCGTGGGTGCAATGTTTTTGATCCTAAAACAAAGACATATCAGTATTGCGCAACAAGTTAAGAGCGTGAAGCCGAACACTAACCAGGATGATAACGGTAAGGCCCATCGGCATCTTGAGATCCAATTTGTTTGAAACACTGCCCACATTTACCGCCTTTAAATTTGAGAGATTTTCTCTCCAACCCCATTTCCTCCAAGGTTGGATCAAGCCTCCGCTTCTTTGGCGATGATGATACACCGGCGACTGATTGGCTTCGAGTTCTTCCGTTCAAAACTTCGTCATTCACATCTGTCAAAATAATCCGAGCTAACGGAACCCCTTCACCTTTTTCTGCCAAGTCCCTCTCATGAGTTAAAGCCCTCTCCGTAACTTCCCTCAACCTGTTCTCAATCTCGAGTGCTTTTTCCAAATCTTTCGACTTCTTTTTTTCTCTTTCTAGTGCTTCTACGGCAGCATCCCTGACGGCATTCGTTGAGGAAGCGCGCGTGCCCACTTTTGTAAATTCCAGTTGTTCATTGGCAAGTTGCTCCTTGAACAACCGAGATCTAACCTTTTCATCTTTCAAAGCCTTTTTGAGCTCCTCGGAGATTGCCATCACGGCAGGCTGAGGAATTTTATTCGGCTGAGATATAGGTGTTCTGCTTCTTGATTGAAACCGTCTCTGATGGTCTAACAGATCCTTTAGTCTTTTCGTTTCCTTCCTCTCATCACTCAACTGCTTTTGAATTATCTCAATATATCTTCTGTCCGTTTTTGAAGCTTGGTCTGCACTATCGTTCCGGGGCATCAATTCTGGCAGAGTATTCTGGGCGTTGATAGCCTTAGCCTGAATTTCCATCATCTGCTGTTGTAAGGTCTCGACCTGATTCCATTCATTTTGATAATTATTTGTGACAGTCTTTAGCTTCTCTTTCGCTGCCTCTAGTTCTTGCAGCAACACCGCAGTTCGTTTCTTTTCTATCATCAATGCTTCTTCCAGAGGACTTTCCTGCTGCAAGGTATCCTCATCGTCACTCACCAAGTCAATGACCAACCCCTTGCCTGGTATAATTCGTTCCTTTCTCGAATTCATAGACATTCCTCTCCGGTCCGTCGACTTCCCATCTACTTTATCATTATTCAAGAGTCCTTTAGTACTCCATCCCTCCTCTTTCTCCTCCTCTACATATTTGTCACCAAGCAAAAATCTTAGAGTGGTCGTTCGCACATGCGGATACAAATTTCCGGTAGCTCTAAGCAATGCTTTGAGGGATTCGACATCTGCATTGTTGAGAGCGGACTCTAGAGACTGGGATTGAGGAAGTGCTTGTAGCTTTGACTGAGGAGCTGGGGTCAAGATTGAGGAGCCTAGTCTAGAGGGTGTTCGAAGAAATGGAGAGGCATTTGATGGCGTAACGGGAGTCAGTGGGTAATGGTTTAGAGGAGCCAGTTGTGGCTGAGATTGAGTGGAAAATTGAGGAGGGTGTTGGGTATTGTGTCTACTAATCTCAGGCGCAAATGGTGGCAACTGATGTTGCGTTGGGAATCCATTGGGATTTGAGTATGGACTGGGGTCAGTTGAAGCTTGCATTGTGGATGTCCACCTTGGTACCGGTTGAGGAGGATAATGTTGCTGCGAACCAAGATCATTCGAGAATATCGGACTTGGCGAAGGAAAGCTTGACTGCTGTGGAGAGGAATTGGAGAGGTTTGGATAACGTGTGTGGAATAACGAAGGATTGAGCTGATCTTGATAAGATGCAGGTTGTTCTGCACAATTCAATCGCACGGCCTTTCTTGACATTTGTTTAAAGCAAAAGCTCACAAGTTCATCAGTGTCTAGGGTGGTTCAATGATTGTTTTACTGGAGAAGGTATGTCAAAAGAATGGTTCGAGGAGGGTTTAGGAAGACGCGTTGGCGGGGAATCGCGATTTTCTCGATAAGCTGCTGCTGTGGAAGGCGCGTAAATGCTTATCGACACGTGACCGGTCCCCTTTTCATGTATTTTTTTTGTCAAGATACCACATCTCACTATCAATTTCAAATATCGTGGGTTGGATGAATATGTCACAGCAAACATATATCAAGTGCCTGATCAATTTTCTCGTTGGAAGGATCTGATTGTGATTGGCTTACGCGGAGGGTTGACCAGATTTGGAACATATCACATCGTGCTTACTCTAGGAAGGGCGGCTACCACTGTCACAATGAATTGAGAATGCGCCCCTCACCATATCAAGCTTTCAAGTATCATATCGAATATTGTTGCTGGAAACCCGTTGCGAGACACTTTCACTAGGTATTGTCAGTTCAAAAAAACTCAAGACTCTCATCAAAACCCCTTAACTAGTTTCAATCGGTTCTCTGGTCTCAAAAATGGGGGCAGAAACCATCAATCCGAAGCTAAATGTTGCTATTATCGGCGGAGGTCTTGGTGGACTTGCTCTCAGTATTGGACTCCTTCCTTATCGTGATGCCCTCAATATCACAATTTACGAATCAGCTCCTAAGTTTGCAGAAATAGGGGCAGGAATTGCATCTGGTCCTAACGCAGTGAATGCCCTAAATCTGATCTCTCCTGATATCCTTAGAGGTTATAGGAAATGTGCAACGTTTAACGAAACTCGCGATCACGATAATGCATGGTTGACTTTCCGGTATGGAACGAATAGTAAAAATGGTGATGGCAAGAATATGGACTTGATTCAGCATGTGGGAGAGGAAGGAAAACCTCTGGGAGATATTTCGAAAATGCTGATAAGAGAGGAGATTAGAAGGAGAAGTTGTGTGCATAGGGCTAGGTTCTTGGACGAAATGGCAGCATTGATTCCAGACGGAATGGCGAAATTCAAGAAAAGTCTAGTGAGCGTTGAAGACCCGGATGAAGACAACGAAGGGTTGAAGTTGACATTCGAAGATGGTGAAACAGTTCTCGCTGATGTAGTGATTGGCTGTGATGGAATCAAAAGTGTCACAAGGAAGTTTGTCATGAGAAACCAATCAATTGAACCGGAGTTTTCAAACGCCTACGCGTATCGAGCTATGGTTCCCAGAGATGTTGCCCGGGAAGCGATGGGAGATATCTTAGCACTAAATGGCCAATCATACCTTGGATATGATAGATATATGATTAGTTACCCAGTTGAGCATGGGAACTTGATCAACATCGTTGCATTGAAGACAACGAAAAATGTCGAATGGGATCAGAACAACTGGTTGGTGCCTGCTACCAAAGAAGAGATGGCGTCCGATTTGAAAGGCTATGATGAGAAGTTGGTTGAATTGGTCTCGAAATACTGTGTTGGAGATAAGTGGGGGCTCTTCCATCTTCCACATTCTCAGAAATATTTTCGCGGAAGGATTTGCCTTATGGGAGACGCTGCTCATGCAAGTACACCCCACTTAGGGGCTGGCTCTGGTATGGCATTTGAAGATGCTTATGTCTTGAGTCGTCTTTTTCAGGATGTCAAGAATAAAGATGATATTCAAAAGGCACTCGAAGCTTATGATACGGTGAGAAGACCAAGGTCGCAAAAGCTAGTTGAATTTAGTAAGAAAGCCGGAGAACTGATCTCGTTTACGCATGTTGATTATGGAGATGATGTGAAAAGGATAGCTGACGAGATCGATTTGT